TACGAGTCTAGGGGGCTTTACGGGCCTTAAACGTCAATGCAACGGGGACCGTATTGGGGAAAGTTTCTCGTCTGGTGGTGGGGCACCCGTGTGCCGATTTTGAACGAAATCGGAGGGGACCCCCCATTGACCCAAAATTTTGATTTTCCCGTAAAAACTTTCCTATGGGGAAAAAGTGAAATTTTCCTGCAGGACTGTGTCTGGGTAAACGAGTGCTTTCCATTGATATCCATTTTAACCATAGCACCACTTTTTGGTCCGTACAAAGGCGATTTTACGGATATTTTACGAGTCTAGGGGGCTTTACGGGCCTTAAACGTCAATGCAACGGGGACCGTTTTGGGGAAAAATTCTCGTCTGGTGGTGGGGCACCCGTGTGCCGATTTGAACGAAATCGGAGGGGACCCCCCCATTGACCCAAAATTTTGTTTTTCCCGTAAAAACTTTTCTATGGGGAAAAAGTGAAATTTTCCTGCAGGACTGTGTCTGGGTAAACGAGAGCTTTCGATTGATACCCATTTTTACCATTGCACCACTTTTTGGTCCGTACAAAGGCGATTTTACGGATATTTTACGAGTCTAGGGGGCTTTACGGGCCTTAAACGTCAATGCAACGGGGACCGTTTTGGGGAAAGTTTCTCGTCTGGTGGTGGGGCACCCGTGTGCCGATTTTGAACGAAATCAGAGGGGACCCCCCATTGACCCAAAATTTTGATTTTCCCGTAAAAACTTTCCTATGGGGAAAAAGTGAAATTTTCCTGCAGGACTGTGTCTGGGTAAACGAGAGCTTTCGATTGATACCCATTTTAACCATAGCACCACTTTTTGGTCCGTACAAAGGCGATTTTACGGATATTTTACGAGTCTAGGGGGCTTTACGGGTCTTAAACGTCAATGCAACGGGGACCATTTTGGGGAAAGTTTCTCGTCTTGTGGTGGGGCACCCGTGTGCCGATTTTGAACGAAATCGGAGGGGACCCCCCATTGACCCAAAATTTTGATTTTCCCGTAAAAACTTTCCTATGGGGAAAAAGTGAAATTTTCCTGCAGGACTGTGTCTGGGTAAACGAGAGCTTTCGATTGATACCCATTTTAACCATAGCACCGCTTTTTGGTCCGTACAAAGGCGATTTTACGGATATTTTACGAGTCTAGGGGGCTTTACGGGCCTTAAACGTCAATGCAACGGGGACCGTTTTGGGAAAAGTTTCTCGTCTGGTGGTGGGGCACCCGTGTGCCGATTTTGAACGAAATCGGAGGGGACCCCCCATTGACCCAAAATTTTGATTTTCCCGTAAAAACTTCCCTATGGGGAAAAAGTGAAATTTTCCTGCAGGACTGGGTCTGGGTAAACGAGAGCTTTCGATTGGTGTGATTTTTTACCCGTTTGTGACGTCATTTCTAGGGAAAAACGGGTCATAAAGGTTTCCCTCTACCGGGGCCTTTTTTCCCCCTACCGAATCTGTGCTGTGCTGAATCTGTGCTGAATCTGTGCCAACTTCCGTTACATAGTTGATTCGCTGATTGGGATAGCAAAAGCTGAAATGAGGAAAGAACGAACATAGAAACGTACGTCTAAGGTGCGCAGGAAATATAATACAGCAGCAAAGGTATCGGCAAGCAATTAAAAAGATCTAGGACAACGATATGTAAATGGTGGCGTTATTGTAATGAACGTGCCTTGTAGGCCTTGCCTTATAGTTCATTTCCTTATTTTCTTTTCAATAGGTTCCCCTTCAATCTCAAATTTCAAAAGTTGACCCCGAACGCTCTAGTGCAGGGGTCGGCAAATGGTGGGGCATGCCCCCTTTGGGGGTAATGGAGCCCTTTCGGTGGAGGTAATAAGGGATTCTGAGAAAACCTATCTTTTTAGAGTTAGTGGCTCCATTGATGGAACCATCGTGACTGTTGCATCCCAGGGCTCAAAGATTAGCCCAGGTCAAAGGCATGCACACATTGATTAGATACCAATTTTCACGTAGCTGCTCGCCTCACCATCTCACCCCTCCGTACAGTCGTACAAAAGCAGCTGCAATTTTTAACCGTCGCCCGTCTGTTGGCGTTTCCACAGCCGCTAACGTAAGGGGGAGGAGCCGATCGGACCCCCGCGGCCTCTCGGACTCTGAGATGGAGCTGTGCATAAAAAAACGAGCGTATTACCCGTGACTATAGGAAGCCGCTGCTGCCCATTTTTAAGGTCCTTGGTCATTTCGTCTCATTCAGGAGGTCAAAGACAAGTGTCGAGAAAATCGGGACCCGCTATAACTTCTTGAAGTGAGATTTTATGGCTCAAGATGACCTCCAGAAAAAGCTCATGGCCAATGATCATTATGGGTCCAGAGGACAGTTTTACCGACAGAAAAATAGCTGCCTGCCGGAATTGTTTGCCTTAAGACCGCTTCACATACGGTCTTGAGGTCGCCAATGGTTTACCGAGCAAACGGTAAAGCCCTATCCACTTACATGCTCATCGCGCTTACGCTCCGTATGTGAAGCCAATGATTACGTAAACGTAAACGTAAACGGTAAAACCCTATCCACTTACATGCTCATCGCGCTTACGCTCCGTATGTGAAGCGGTTTTTAGGCAAAAACTCCGGCAGGCGGCTATTTTTCTGTTGGTAAAACTGGCCTCAGGAATTCTCGGGCAGGTTAAGAAAAAAATGATTGGCATGAGGGTACAATTTGGTCGTGATCCAACGGCTTTTACGTGAGCTTTTAACGAAAAACCACCCGCCGCCCCTATATGTACGAGGGTTAAATGGGATATACTAAATGCTTTGTGGAGGAAGTGTCATGTTTTAAATTTGATGCATTGGAAATGCAGAAATACCCAAAGAGTTCCAGAAAGGTATGGAATTTCAGTAAACTTGGTTGTGACAGCAATGGGGTCTGGTAGATGGGGGTAACGGCCCTGCCTGGCGCCTAAAAAGGGGGCACAACCCCGAGTGACCAGCCGACCACTGCTCTAGTGCAAAGAACAGGTAGTGACCTACCGTTATAAGAAGGCTATCCATTGGTACTGGGACTAAGGTCTCGGTCAAAGGCCTTCAGAGCATTTTGAAAACAAAACTCGTGTGACCAAATAAATGTTCAGATCTCAAGTCACCACCCACTGATGCCAATATCAACGAACGTCATGCTCTTTGCAATCATTTGTATGTACACTTGTAAAAAGCACGGAATAGACCACACTTCGTCTTATTCTATTAAACACTACACTGGTACGCGGTTTAGTAGCTGTGATAACAGCTTCAGAAGGCACACCACGCACAGTTCCGACTCCGGACTCGGATACCGTTCCAGCCGTGCTTATCTATAAACAGCCGTCATCTATACGCCTTACGGTCGTAAATGTCAAACCCATCCCATTTATGAAATAGGGAAAATTGTCACAATTATTGCACATATTGGGTGGCAGATACCATCTACTAACACACAAGCCTCACAAAATAACAGACACATAACAAACATGTTCAAAATATTGGAGCATTATATGTTATCATACTGACAATGAGAGAACTGTCAATACAAAAAAAAAAAAAACAGTTCCGTAAGATAAACAGGCTCACGGAGTTCAACAACGCTGATCTAAAATAACACAAGCAAAATACATACACCCGACCTCAAAGTTTTAGAGCTCCCAAATATTAGCAGCGTTTGGTGCCGAGTTTTGATGCAACAATCGCACACTTAGGATTACTTTGATAACGTCACATTAGCAGAACCTCTTGGACCGAATTTATAATAGCCAAATCTTCAGATCGCAGGTTTTGTGAACTTCGCATATAACTAGCTTCCAGCACAAGGCGCTTTTGGCGCAGCGAGCCACGGTCCGATGAGGTTATAACTGAGTCTCCCTCGACCTACAGCGGCCGTAAGTCGAGGCAGTGATGAGTTGAGCATGCTCCAGTGGCTTTACGAGCCGAGTCTCTCCTGGAACACCCTGGTAGCGGCGCGGTGAACTATCGTGTGCCTCCGGGCCAGTTCGGAGAGGTCTCGGGAGTAGCCTCCACCGATCACGGTAGCGCACGGAATTCCTCGACGGACCGTCTCGCTCATCACGAAATAGTCACGGTCGAACAGACCTGCCGGGGTCAGACACACAGTCACTTGTCAGCTAGCTCCGCCGTCAACGAAACACAGCAGGGCTAGTCAACCTAATGCTATCACAACGTCAATCAAAAACAAAAGTGACACCAGCGATACGCTGATAAAACACCACAGAGAGAAAACGACTTACGTTTTCATGTTATTCATTTTACGATCCGGGATAACAACAATGATTTAATTCCTCACCTAAAGTTACCAACTGCGCTATTTCCCCCACCTTAGTTGGATTAGATCCTGCACATTTACCTACAATAACTTATGTCAGAGCACCCGGATGTATGTCTAACACTTACCTTGATCGGAGAGGTCCAGCTTGCCGAGCACGTCGTTGACATGGGGGTCAACGCCGGCGTCATACAGGACCAAATCTGGCCGGAAGAGGTCGAGCAGTGCTGCCATATGATTGCGCAGTGCTGCCATATAGGCGACGTCTGCCGTGTGCATCTCCAGGCCGACATCAAGGTCTGAGCGCTGCTTCCTCAGCGGAAAGTTCTTCTCGCAGTGCACCGAGAAGGTGAACACGCGGTCATCGCCGGCGAAAATGGCCGCGGTGCCGTCTCCCTGTCGATTTCGGTCAGTGTCGGGAAACACCAAGTGTCGGTGATGTTTGCCGGTCAGAGGAGGGGAGATGGCTAAGGCTGTCAGTTTTCCTCCAGTTGGTTTCTTTAGCTTTATATTTGCTTGGCAATTGGCTGAAACAGAACATCTAAAAAGCCAATTTTTTATTGAGGGTAACTGTATAACATAGGTAGATCACAATTGACGATAAAAAAATCACCGGTAGCGGTTTTATCGATGATCGGAAACCGACACGTATTCAGTATTCGGTCAGTGCTGACACTAGCGCCCAATGTGGCAGTCAGCTGAGGTCATCGACGACTCCTCACCTGGTGGACGTCGAGGTCGACGATGAGCACCCGCCGGGGGTCGTCGCCGGCGCCCAGCAGTCGGGCTGCCACCGCCAGGTCGTTTAGGAAACAGTAGCCCGAGCCGTGGCCGGGGAAGGCGTGGTGCGTGCCGCCGGCGGTACTGCACGCCAGACCACGCTGCAGCGCCGCGCGCGCCGCCTGCACCGTCCCACCTGGCGGACGGGACGGGGAGCGTCGTGAGATCTCTGTCTAACGACAAACGTGTCGGGGAATATCTGCACTTAGCGACCGGTGATCGTCACACCATCATTAGGCAGTCATACTTAGTGACGATTATGACTGCAGAACAATATCACACATTTTAGACGAGCATTCACATCTGAAATAAACCATCTTCATTCATCATAACTAGGATAGTCTCCACTGGGAAGCGGGAAACCGGCAGCTTACCGGTTTCATATCGAACCCTGGAGACTAGGCCCGGCGACCACGGGATACCGGTAACCCTCTGCTCCTGGCTGGTAGTGTGTCCATTGAAGAACTTGTCCACATACTCCTCAGAGTGGACAAGGCACGCCACCTCCCGGGACACAGCTTCTGGTGTAAGCAGCTGTGGAAACATTGGGAGGGTGTGCAGAGGCTCTGTAATTTTTTACTTAGAATGCCAAATACCTACCTATCAAAGTTGTTCATAAAAACATTCCTTTTGCCTTTTGGCAGGGTAGAAGATCATGTCTCTATACCTATGACCCTAAAAGAAGAGTTTTCTATACCATCACACACATTGTTCAACAGCAATGTAACAACAAATGACCCTTTCTGCACACCTATTTACCACCTATTTACAACCTGAATGCTGGTAAACACACCTGTTTGCAGCTGTCAATTACTCCATCTTTCACCAACAGATCAAAGATCATGTTGAACTTTGCCATTGGAAAGCTGTGCCCAGCAGGCAGCTGGCACACATAGCCAGGGTGGTGGACAATGGGAAGGCCACTGATCCTCTCAAGATCCAAACCACCATTCTGTAGCTGCTGTAGGAATGGAACAATAATTGATACCAGAGAGAGACCTTCCAGGCCATACAATGAAAACTGAGTGGCAAAGCAAGGTTTTATTCAACTCTGGATGATGGATGAGCACTCAGCAGAATAGACAGGCCAGTAAAACTACTGTAGATGTTTCAAACTAGCTTTAGAAGTAATTAATTATCCTGACCCACAGCAATGCTTATTAACTATTAGTTCATGTTTTTTTCAGGTAGCAGTGCTGGTCAACTCATACAAAAAAACAAGGCAATTTTACAAATGTGGGAACTGGCTGCAAGGCATAAACAAAAATGTTCCAAACCTACATGCTGATGTTGCTTGCAGAGGGAATTATTGAGCACTGACGCAAGACTTGACAAACAAGATCTGATATGTTTGATGTTTTTAGATTGCAGTTTCACCAAAAATGCCATACTTCTACCCGTTTGCATCATGGCTAATGCATAATGGCTTTGAAGGATGGTCATTTAATATAACGTTCCATTACAATTAGGTGTCCAGCATACGTAACTGTGATGTGATCAATGGATATGAAAGCTAAAGCTTTCAATCTGAATCAAAACAAATTTGACAACTCTTGTACCCAGGACAGCTCTCAGAAATGAGGTATGTGAGACAAAAACTAGCAATATATAATCATCAAATTCGAAGCAGCAGCAGCGTGGCCGGTAGGCACAATTTCAAGTGATTCAGCTTATCATTTTTCAGCACAGTATATTGCACACTGATAAGATATAGCAACAAAATCGATTCACAAGCCAACAAGTAATTTTTGAGCAGTCCAGCAAACACTGAGTTCCAAGTCAGACGGTGTTAAAAGCTTATGGTCAAACTTGAGGACGAGCTAAGATCAGATGAGATACATTGTTCATGGCCCGCAACATCAATTTAGTGGTGGCGAGCTCTTAAAAATGAAGCAATGAAGTAGTTGCGCAGTAAATGAACCACACTCGAGGTCAATATTTTTTTTGCTAATGAAGGAAATCCTTTTAAAAAATTGCTACCAAATCCTATTTCGGTGTTCGTCCGCAAGGCCCTATATACCAGGTAGGGTCGTCCGGCGATTCTACCTTTTCGTGACGTCAGCTCGTGACGTCATTTGGAATCAAGTCTCGAAGCCCCGTTCAATCCCCATGTAAATGAGCGATTTTCGAAGCACTGTAGAATGAAGTCTGCACAAGATATATCAAACCTAAGTATCTTATCTGAAAGAGCAGACAATTTTCTGCAAGTTATCTATTACGTGTTTTTCGCTAAATCTTTTGCTTTTTTCACAAAAGCGTAAAATGTCCCCTCATGTCTCCGCAGCCTCCCTGCCGCCGGCCGCCGCGCGGTCGCGGTAGTGTAGTGGTTAGCGTGCCCGCGCAGTATTCCAAAGGTCCCGAGTTCGAATCTATGCGGTGCGGAACTTTAATTGCAATTCCAAGCTGAATATACGCACATCCAAAATAAATTATTATTCGTATAGCTAAACTGTCACCAAGCTATCCATATAAATTGACTTCACCCAAAATATCGGCAAGATTCTATTAAAATATAAATTCAAATATGGCGGCTTGGACTGCCGCGTGCGTTAGGCTCCGCCCATAGCTCCGCCCACATGCGTGACGTCATTCGTGTTAGTGGACACACGCGGAGATAGGGGACGACATGGGCCTGTTCGTCCGTTTTGTCGTTTTATATGGCGCGGCGTTGGTTGGACCCAGAATCGAATTCATAATTTTAATATTGTACAGCCAATTGGAGACCTGTTAATGGTATATTATTCATCGTAATTCTACGTCCTGCTCGGTAAGTTTGCAGTTTGCATGGCGAACAAGTGGTCAGAGGCGGGTAAGCTGTTATAATTTGACGCGTCATAAATGTATTTTGTCAGTTGTATCGTATAGTTAAAAGATTTTTGTAATTTGTTTGGGAATATTCAAGTCTTCAGCTAATTTCTTTGCTTCTTGGTGAGCTCAGTCATCTAGGTTCAAGTCCTGTGGTGGAAAAAGTGACCTTGGTGCTTGCCACATGATGGCCCCTCGGAACAGGGATTGTTACTGTTGTACGTGATCTACTGGATATTAAAAAATGCTAGAATGTTTGAATGGACAGATTGATAGTGCCAGAGTGAATCTTAGCTGTAAGGAGAACTTGTTGCATAGACCCCAAGTCCCAACCCCTACCATTCAATTATGCTATTTTGGGCACCCATTGCCTAGATGAGTGTTAGTGGTGTTTGCAATAAGCATTGATGAAGTGAAAACCTTGCATGGTTTGATATTGAAGCCATGGTGTGACATGGTATGCATGACATTTTGTAAAAAAAATGTATGTTTTCTATAAAATTGACAAAAAAATGAATCTTTCTGACAACAATCAATATATTATGTATTTAATTGTTCATCGCACTGATCATCAAATGTTTGATGTAACACCTATGCTTTGGGATTTGATAAAATACCCATGCTAATTTCTCTTGCTACATTACCTTCTCTTACTGCATTACACTCTCTTTCATCTTACTCAGTCTTTTTCTGTTTTAGGTTATCATCATTCACCTTTTTTCTTGAATGATATTCAAACAAACAGGTATGTTAAATATTGCATTATAACACCATTAAGCTGGGAATGTATAAGGTAAATAAACAATTGTTGTTAAAACTGTATGTCTATTTTTGTGATATATCAATCCTTATTGTGTTAATATTTCTTCACTTTTAGTTTTTTTTCTGGATAATTTGATGATTTTGCTCATTTTTTTGAAATATGATGAATGTAATGCATGCATGAGGACAATTTGTCTTGGGACTCGAATAAGCAAATTTATTTTCCTAATCGACATGAGAAGAAACTGTCAAACACTTTATCTTTCACATGCCATTTCAAAATTTGGTATGAATATTTTCAAATCTGTGTAAGTGTTTCACATAATACCTATGAATAATGCATCTCTAATAACTAGTTTTGAAACTTGCTCCTGCCTAATATAATTTAACAAGTGTGATCATTAAATTTTTTGCTCTTTTGTAAATTCACTCTTGTTTTAATTAAATTAGAATATCTTGAAATTCAAGAATGGCTCTCCGCTCTGTTGTTACTATTCAAGCAACCATTTAGGATTACCTTCAAAATTTGGTTGATCAGCAGACTGGGTTCCATCAATAATTGATATGTAAGTGCCTATGTCTGCTCTTAATACCATATTTTGAGAAATAAATGTCTCAAATGGACTGTAGTTATAAGCAATCTCTTTGGGAGAAGCTCTGGTAGCTTTACTTTACTCTCTTCACATTTTCTGATTTGCTCAGATTTGTGAAAAACTATACCACAGCTACATCCTAGAGGCTAGAACAACAGCTTCCATTAGAGTCCTAAACCAAGGCATCCACAGCTTAGTTGATGTTGACATGGAGCAGGGAATAGGGATGGTGGTTTATTCTTTACTTTAGCTGCATTTCTGCTTTCCTAAGCCTATCAGATGGATTCTACATGTAGATGTCCCATGTCAGCACAAAATTGGAACCCAACTATAGATACAAAGTCAGTTGAACATACCAGCATATATGTACAGTGGCAGTTTGTGTTCTGCACTCAAGTTGTGTGGTTTTGTTCTCTGCTCTGCTGTGCCAAATCCAGTGACCTCTGCCATCCCGCCTGCAGAGAGCTGGCCGCCAGACTGTTGCCCGCCATCATGGGCTTCCTGGACCAGTCCAGCACCAAGCCCAGCGGTCCCATCATCAAGGAGAGCTTCATGGTGAAGCGGTCGCAGAACAAGAAGCGCTTCGGGCCGGTCAACTACAAGGACCGCTGGTTCGTGCTGACGTCCACGGTGCTGACGTATCACGATGGAGACCCGGAGGTGAGGGCGATGATCGAACACAATGGGATAGAACAGAGTTTGTTTGATGAATGGGGAGGCATACAGACAGACATTCGAGAGAAGGCGCAGTCCACTGTGTCTGTTTCTGTGACGCTGTTTCCGCGCTTTGTCCCAGACTGCAGCTGTGCCATGTCCGAGTCTTGTCCGAATCTGCGATACGGTATCCGCATCGTTTCAGTGTTTGTAACGACGTGTATGTCCTTGTCCGCTCTGTATCCGTGTGTGTGACGCTGTGTCCGCTCCTGTGTCCGGCAGAGGAAGGGTCGGGAAAAAGGCCGCGTGGAGCTGAGCGCTGTGCGCGTGGTGGAGCCACTTAGCGAGTACGCGCTCGACAGCCGACCGCACAGCTTCCAGCTGGGCTACGGCGAGTACACGCTGTATGTTTCGGCTTCGTCAGAGATTGAGCGAGACGAGTGGCTGCGCGCGCTCAGGGAACGTGAGTGAAGGGGGAGGGGACGGGATGGGGCGGACACTGCGGGCTGGGGACGGGTGCTGCGGGCAGGGGGCGGGCGCTGCGGGCTGGGGACGGCGGGGGAACTCCAGGGAACTCGGGCGGGAGTAACCCAACTGATCAAAGCAGTGCAGCTATCAGTGTGTTTGTCTCCTATTTTAATGATATTTTAATGAAGCTTATGTCCTTAAAGATTTCTTCACAATGCACTGCCCCCTTTCTGCCATATGTCTTACTGTTCGATGTAAGGTTTTTTTTGGGGGGTGGGGGGTGGGGGGGGGGGGGGTAGTTAATGCCCATTTTCCGATTAGTTCCTTAGCATTTTGTTAACATCTTATTATAGCCATCTGTTAGTCGGCTTTGGCAATGTCCCGACATTATTTGCTCGTCTTACTGCGGACTCCCAGCTTCAGTAATCCACTTTATCTTCATGGAACCCCACATTTCTTTTTCACTTAAGCTTTCTTCAATTCCCTCCGGCGTGGTATTGTCCCATCCCCCATCCCCTTCCAGTCAAGGACAACTGGACTTCCTTTCCAGCATGACGACATAAACCACATCCCCTTCCCGTCGGTGCTATACACCAGTGCCTTTTCGTCGCTCGTACCTCCTCACCTTCCCGTGCTATCACTGGGTCCGGCTGACTCACGGTGCCGATAGCCCGCTGACACCCGGTCCCCGCTCTCCTCCGGCAGTGTGCAGGGTGAACAGTGGCCTGCTGCCGCGCTACCACCCCTCCATCTGGCAGAACGGACGCTGGCAGTGCTGTGGACACATCAACAAGGCTACTGCCGGCTGTGAGGAGGCCACGCCCATGGGCTCGGCCGACCCGGAGGTCACCGCTACGGACCCCGAACCAGTGGCCTTCGACGGCCCTACCACAGGTGCGGTGCAACGCATCTGCAGCAGCTTATGGTGTGTGCGGGTGTTTGTTTGTTGAAAGACGTGTCTTTGTCGGTTTACAGCAGTGTTGTGTTTAGTGTGTAGTGATGTTATCGCTTTTGTTCGGCTGTTTGTATCTGGCTAATGTTTGCCGCCCTCTGCTTATCGTTTTTCGCATTGTATGCGCGATGTAAGTGATGCGCGCTGCTGAGTTTGCATTGTCTCCTCGTTAGCGCTAGTATTCGGTCCCGACTTGATGCGTTCGTCACATCCTGCTTTATCTACGTCAGGACAGCTGTCCGTTGAAATTACCTTCTCAGTCAATACTGCCGGCAATCCACGGAGTATGTCCGCCCCTTGCTATTGTATTCCTTCGGCGTATCCTACACACTTAATAGCATCTGATGAACCAGCTTGCCGTCATGCACTTGCTGTCATACGAATTTCTGCTGCTTTGCATATCTGCTGCACTGCCTGTCTGTGTCTGTCCGTCGTTTTCTTTCTTTGAACCAGCCTCTTCTCGTTTGTCTGCCTGTTCTGCCTGCCTGTGACCGTGTTTCGT